TTCAAAAAAACAAGCCCAACACCAGATGCCTTCACTGATGAATTCTACAAAACATTGAAAGAAGAATTAACACCAGTTCTTCACAAACTGTCCAAAAAAAAGAACAGGAAGGAAGACTTACCAACTTATTGTATGAGGCCAATATTACCCTGATACCAAAACCAGATAAAGACATCACAAGGAAAAAAACTGTAGAGCAGTATCCCTTATGAATACAAATCAATATCCCATAGGGACACAAAAATCCTCACCAAAATATCAGCAAGCTGAATCCAGCAACATGTAAAAAGGGTTATACACCATGACCAGGTGGGATTTATCCCAGGAATGCAAGGTCGGTTCAGCATTTAAAAAAACCAATCAAGGGTAATCAAACAAAGGGAAAAAACCATGTCATGTGGTTTTTGATGCAGAAAAGGCATTTGGCAAAATCTAATACCCTTTCATAATGAAAACACTCAGGAAACTAAAAATAGAAGGGAATTTCCTCAACCTGATAAAGGGCATCTACATGTTCACAGCTAAAATTGTACTTTAACAATGAAAGACTGAAATCTTTCCTCCAAGATCAGTAGCAAAACAAGGGTGTCCCTGCCTACCACTTCTGTTCGACATTGTACTGTAGGTTTCAGCTAGGACTATTAGATAAGAAAAAGAAAGAAAAGACATCCAGTTTAGAAAGGAAGAAATAAAACCATCTCTGTTTGCAGATGGCATGGTCTTATATATAGAAAATCCTGAGGAATACACACACACACACACAAACTACTAGGGCTAATAAATGAACTCCCCAGAGTTACAAGATACAAGATCAATATATAAAAATCAATTCCACTTGCTAAAGTAACAAAAGGAGTAAAATACTTGGGAATAAGTTTAACAAAAGAAATTCAAGATTTGTACGCTGAAAACTACAATACACCATTGAAAGAAATTAAAGAAGACTTAAATAAATGGGAAAAACAACCCATGTTCATGGATTAGAAGACTTAATGTTGTTGAGGGCAGTACTTCCGAAATTGATCTGTAAATTCACCACAATCCCTATTAAAATCACCAACCTGTCTTTTTTGGAGAAATTGACAAGCTGACCCTAAAATTCACATGGAAATGCAGGGGACCAGAACAGTCAAAACAATCTTGAAAAAGAAGAAAGATGGAGGGCTTATACTTTCGGATTTCATAACTTGCTACAAAGCTACAGTAATCAAGACATTGTGCTGCTCGCTGGGATAAAGATAGACACAGGTGAATGGAATAGAATTGAGAATTCAATTGATTTTCAACAAGAATGCCAAAACAATTGAATGAGGAAAGAATGGCCTTTTAACTGATGGTGCTGGGACACCTGGATATCCACATGCAAAAGAATGAACTTAAACTGCTACCTCACACCATATAGAAAAATTAATTTCAAATGAATCAAAGACCTAAATATAAGAGCTAAAACTATAAAACTCGTAAAATGTAGGAGTAAATCTTTGTGGCCTTGGGTTAGGTCATGGTTTCTCAGATATGACATCAAAAATAGAAGCCAGAGGGCCGGCCCTGTGGCTTAGCGGTTAAGTGAGCACGCTCTGCTGCTGGCGGCCCGGGTTCGGATCCCGGGCGCGCACCGACACACCGCTTCTCCGGCCATGCTGAGGCCGCGTCCCACATACAGCAGCTAGAAGGATGTGCAGCTATGACTACAACTATCTACTGGGGCTTTGGGGGAAAAAAATAAATAAATAAAATCTTTAAAAAAAAAAAAAATAGAAGCCAGAAAAGAAAGAACAGATATATCGGACTTTGTCAAAATTAAAACTTTTGTTCTTCAAAGGACGCTATCAAGAAAGTTGAAGACAACTCACAGAATGGAAGAGAATATTTGCAAATCATATATCTGATAAGGGTCTAGTATCTAGGATATATAAAGGACTCTTACAATTCAACAATAAAAAAAGAAATACCCTAATTTTTAAAATGGGTAAAGGATTTGAATAAGCATTTGTCCAAATAAAACATATAAATGGCCCACAAGCACATGAAAAGATGCTCAATATCAGTCATTGGGGAGTTGCAATTTAAAACCACAAAGAGATGCTACTTCACACCCACTAGGATGACTCTTACCAAAAGATGGAAAATAAGTGTTAGCAAGAATGTGGAAAAATTAGAACCCTCATATGTTGCTGATGGGATTGTAAAATAGTACAGCTGCTTTGGAAAACAGTTTGGCACTTCCTCAAAAATGTTAAATGTAGAGATAGCACGTGAGCTAGCACTTCCACTCCTAGGTATATACCCAAGAGAATTGAAAACACAAAACTTGTTCAAGAATATTCATAGCAGCCTTTATTCATAATAGCCCAAAAAATGGAAACAATCCAAATGTCCATCAGCTGATGAATGGATAAACAAAAGTGGTACAATAGAATATTATTCAACCATAAAAAGCAATGAAGTACTGATTCATGATACAACATGGGTGAACCTTGAAACATTATGCTAAATGAAAGAAGTCAGACACAAAAGTCCACGTATTGCATGATTCCGTTTCTATGAAATAACTAGAATAGGCAAATCCATAGAGACAGGAAGTGAGTAGAGTCATGGTTTCCAGGGCCTGGAGGGAGGAAGTGTGGAGAGTGACTGCTGTGGGTATAGTGTTTCTTTTGGTGGTGATGCAAGTGTTCTGAAATTAGATAGTGGTGATGGTTGTACAACTCTGAATATACTAAAAGCCACTGAATTGTTTTAAAAAAACAAGACTAGTGAGGTTATGTCAAAAGGACACATAAGGGGACCAGCCCCGTGGCTTAGTGATAAAGTGCACACACTCCGCTACTGGCAGCCCAGGTTCGGATCCAGGCACGCACCACTTATCCAGCCATGCTGAGGCGGCGTCCCACATAGAGCAACTAGAAGGATGTGCAACTGTGATGTATAACTATCTACT